AAGAAATAGTTGTCAACAATTTTCTCTAATGATGGTGTCAACTTATCAATAAAACTGGTCTTTTGCAGACTCCGATCGACTATCTTTGTACCATAGAAATTTTCGTGAAAGAATTAAACGACGAAATATTGACAAATGCAGGAGAAGAAATATGATAAAAGTAGCATAGCTCAGGTTTAAGATAAATCAGGACTAGAAATTTGCAACCATAAGAAATTGTTAAGATTAGAAAAAAACTTACATTCAAAATTCGTGACTCAGCATTCTGTTCAATCATGAGCACTGCAGAATTCTTAGTATTTTGCAAAATTTTTACAGCATCATTATGTGTTTTATCAGCAAGTAGTATACCATTTACCTGCAAAATGTCATGTCGTCAATTTTAAAATCAAGAAATTAATGAGAAATTTTCTTATTGTTAAATTTAGAAATTACCGAAATGATACGATCACCGATCTTTAGTCTTTTATCACGCGCAGCTGAACCACCATTTTGAATTCTTGAAATGAATATGCCAGAATCACCCGGAATATATTCCTGATCGATACCGCCAACAATGTTGAAACCAAATTCTATGATTTCTCAAATTATCAAAGCTGTTTTTATGAAGTAAGAATAAAGAAACACTCATATCAAACCTACAAACCTATGTATTGATGCTATATATGTAAGTGGTAAATTTATATCATTCTCAATAGGACTACAATTGGCATTATAAGTTATGATAATATCAAAAGTACACCAAATAATATCAAAAGTGACAAAGATTATAATCAAATAAATTGTTAGCAATAGAAAAATAAAATAAAGACATTCAAAAGAAAGTCAAACATACCACCATTTTCTTTCTCTAATTTTATTATTATTGTCTCTTCACCATTCAATAATATACTATCACCATTTGCATCAAACTAAAACACTATAATTAAGACAAAAGCGTTGCTAACAACAGGAAATAAACAATTTTATTGTATATCACTTTTATTATACACTTTTTCTTCTTCTATTCTCTGTACCTCACCATGTATCATCATGTGAAAAGATTACAATTACTAAAAGCTTACTTTCTCCGAACGCAATTTATTAGTCAATTTCAAACCTTCCATGTAAAAATTTTCTCCGTTTCGATTGCTCTAAAAAAGAAAAACTTAATTATTTAAAAATTCCTCCAAATTTATAAAATCTCACAAAAGAAAAAATCACACATAGATGGGATATGAGTATAGTAATTGCTAGATATCTTGGATCTTTCCATTAATTACTTCAATTCATTATGAATCCTTCATTGATAATATGCAGTGTAATCTATTCACCTCGATCACAATTATAAATGAGATAGGATTAGCATAAAACTATTGTAATCTAAACAACCTACATCTCTAATTAGCCACTACCGAAGTTCGTCTATCATATTATTTGAGTAATTAACATAATTGCTAATTTCCAATATATCATATAATTTTTTTGATAATAACTTATTCCGTTTTTTCTTCATTCAATGATGAATATTTTACATAGTACATCCTAAACAATATGCAACTATGCAGTAAATAATTCAAATTAAACGATCATTCTCAATTAAGAATGATTTCTTTATCAAAACCAAACAGTTTACTAAATCATTCCGCCCAACAATTGATTAATTTTAATTAACAATAAGATTAACAATTTAAGTTTAATAAAAAAAAAGCCATCAAAATTTTAAAACCTTTCTTGATAACAGTGTTCGTTGACTGAGCAATGAGAATGCACGTTTAGGTGTTACAGCTGCTAGTGAGAAATTTGAATCAATCTCTGAATCGAATAATGTAACGTTTGATCGATTACGTCTTAATAATGGTCGTCGGAAAACACTGAATAATCGTTTACCGAAACGTTTCAGGAAACGATCGTTACGTATCAAATCTGAAATGAAAGAAAAAAGAAACAATTACATTACTGAATATGAAATATTTAAAAAAATTCAAACGAAGAAAAAAAGTAGAATAGCAATCATTTTTACTCACTTAATTGATATGATGCAGTACAATAAGACATTACATGAACAATAAGACATTGTGTAGACAATAAGAGATTATTGTTGACACATAATTTCTAGTCCAATAAAATTCCCAATACTTCAATTCGCTTATTCGACACATCCATCATTCAGACGAAAAAAAACAAAAAACATTTCCTCTGACTGTTTTCCGCTCTCTCTTCTAACTCTCTCCCTTTTCATTACATTCATGATATTTACTTTTTTTATCTGCTTCCATGGAGAAAAAAGAAGAATTTATTAGAAAATGAAAATTTCTTTCCTGCTCTCTCTCAACTTTCAGTGTAATGTTATGTTTATAGTTGTTTTTCTCTTTTCACCTCTCTCATTTCATTGTTATAAACTTTTTTTATCTCTGCTTCTTCTCCATTCATCACATTCTCCTTCTTTTTACTCTTAATTGTTTGCTTCAATAGAATGATTGTATTTTTTGATAGTCTTTTTTTCACTTCTCCTACTAATGCAATCTTAACAAATGCTATTTTTCAACATCTCTGCAATTTATTACATACTATTTTGTCATCACTAATGCATAATGCAGTATTATCTTAAATTTTTATGTTAATCTCTAAATCTCTTCTAGAATACGTTCTCTATTGCAGCATTATTTTCTTGCAATCAATCTGTTTATTAAATACTCTCAATCTTGTTTCCGATCATCCGGTCTTGTAGGGTTCACTGGTCCGGAAAATGACCGAGATTGTAAGTAATTCGAGTGGTTAACAGGAAAACAAAAATTGAATAAATAAGTTTTCACATTATTTCTAAATATATTATAAATTCCATTTCTTTATTGATAGTATCACCCCTTTTGACCTTTTATCATAAATCAAATTTGCATTTTTTGTGTATATGTCACCTAATCTTAGTATTAAATCTAACAGCAAATTTTCGATTCATTCATAGTAGCAAATATTTGTTAGTAATTTTAATATTACAAATTAAAATTTCAATTAATTAAAACGGAAAACATTCTAACTTCGCTGATCAAGGTAATCATAAAATTCTTCAGGTAATTGACTTCCAATTTGTGATCGTTGTCGTCGTTGTTGTTTTTCATTTCTATCATTTATTGAATTCAATCGTTGCATTTTTATCACTTCCAATGAATTGATTTATCACTTACTGTTATCAGTTAACTGCTGCTGATAATTTATAAAATTTTCTAAAGTAAACAAAATTTTTCAACAAATTTATCAACGTATATGAAATTGGACGAAAAATTTTTTCTTCAAAAATTTTGCAAAATTTTGGAAGAAATGCTTGAAAGAAAAAATCTTTTTCCTTTTTTTTGTGAACTTATTTCATAAAAAAAAAAAGAAAAAAAAAATTATATTTTACAAACAATTTTTTTAAAAATATTTTTTTTTTCTTTTTTTCTTTAAAAATATTTTCTTTTTTTTAATAAATATTTTATAAAAGAAAATTAAGATTACTTATAAATTGTTAATAAAGAGAATTAAAAAAAAAAAAAAAAAAAATCATAAAATTTTCGTGTAAATTTAAAAAAAAATACAATAATAAATTAAATAGACTAATGAAATATTCGAATTAAAAATACCATTTCAAATAAAACAATACACATTCATACATTACTTTAGAGAAATAACCGTAGACTTGTACTTTCGACAAAATAATAATAACAACAAATTATTTGCATACAGTCATGTTTATATTTATGCAAATTTTTGTCAAAATTAAATTTCAACATTATTTTACAATTTTTTTTTTTTTTTTTTTAGCTAATTTCATTATTTCAATTTTACCTTATGCATAACAAAAATTAATTTGCTGATTTGTTTTTTCTTTGGCCTTCAAATTGCTGCTATTGTTGTTTTATTGATAAGAATGTAGTGGATATCACTATCGATTTCAATTAATTAATTAATTAATTAATTAATATTTACCCAAACTAAAGAAATGACTTTTACAAAGTAATCAAATTTTTCTTTGATCTTTTGTTGCCTAAAATGTATTCATATAATGTTAGCCAATGTTTATTTACCATAATTGTATCATAAAATAATTTTCAATAATTTTTATTTCTACTTTTTTTCTTATGCAATATTATTTATTCAGTTGTTTTGAGCATAATTTAATAGAACATTTTGTAATGCTTAACCATAATATAATGATATGAAATAATCTTTACAACTATTTGAGACAAACTTAACTTCAGATAAACCCGGTAGATGAGTTAAAATTAGATTAGCAAGTGTAAACTAAACTTTGATTAACAAAATATTATCTTTTTTTTTTTATTCGTTCAAGCATCTTCGTACAGTTTTCTTAAAAAATATGATTATTTTTTATTGCTAGACACTTTCATATGTTATATTTATTTTATTATAATTACTCAAATTATTTACAATTCATATCAAATTTTAACAAAATGAACAGATAAATTGTTGCTTACATAAAATAATTTTCCAAATATATTCATTACTGATAAAGTTTAACATTGTTATCATTATAGCATCTAATTAATCTTTAATATTATGCAAGAAAAAAGGAGAAAACCATAATCGAAATAATGAATTTATCATCTTTTATCAGTAATCCATTCATTCTTTCTAGTAATGCAAAGAAAAAAGAGAACGAATTATGAATAAATGACAAATATAGGAAATGGAAAATCAGCAAAGATAGTGAATGAAATAATTATTTTAGAATAAATAAAGCTTTTGAAAACAAATTTAAAAAAAAAAATAAAATAAACAAAGAAAGTAAACAAACAAAATGAGAAAACGAACAAAACAAAAGAAAAAAAAAAAAAAAATAGAGACGAAAAATTGCAGCAAACGAATATTATAATCACAATTATTAATACAAAATTATTATCAAATATTTTCTAATTAAATTTTTCTTTCTTCTGTTCATCTTATGTTCACTTTAAAAAAGTTTAAATAAAATTTAATTTTTCAAGTTTTTTTTTTTTTTAAAAAAAAAAAAAAACAATTATTTAACGTTTTGTCGAATTTTTTAACCATTCATGCATTCGTATTTCTTCCAGTATAGCTCGTTTTTCAACTTTCACATTTAAAATTTTAATCAAAAGATCTGCAAAAAGAATACTTTCATTTTTATGAATAATTTTAGGTAAAAAAAGATAGATAAATTAGTTTTAATTTTTTTTTTTTTCAGATACACATTGTCATTATAAATAATTTTCAATTGCTGAAATGACAAAAAAAATTTGCATCAATTATTTTCACTTTTTTTCCTACAGAGATTTGAATTAAAAAAAAAAAAACTACTGGCACTTTTTTTTTCTTTTTTTTTTTTCTTTTTTTTTTGAATTAGTTCTTGTAAATCAGAACTAAATAAATTTGATTTTCATAATTCGAATAGCTTAAATTTAAAATTAAAATTCGCAATAAATATTAATTCTAAATAATTGCATCTATTCAAAGTTTATCAATTAATTCACCTGAAACACATCCATAGCATTCCGGAATTGTTAACAGCAATCTTTTATCATTATCCTGCATCCTTGACCATTTCCGGTAAACAACATCTTTTTTACTGCAAAATAACCAATTTTTTTTCTTAAAAATTATTTTAGTTGCAAAAAAAAAAAAAAGAAATTTTTTTGTTTTTGCAATTAACAAATCGATGAATTATGCTGTTTTTTCACACTTAAATAATATTAAATTAGTTGAAAACAAAAATAAACAAAAACAAAAACAAAAAGGATTTACCCATTTGCAATACTCCATGGAAGACATCCTTGCAACAAAAAATATAAAAAGATACCGCATGCCCAAATATCTGCACAATTTGGCCTGCATAATAATAAAGTTAAAATAATTTATTTGCATAACAATAGGTGGATAATAGTAAATATAAAAATCAGAAGTTAGAAATTAATGTTTTCATGAAATTGAAGCTCAATTTATTAACTTAAAAAAAAAAAATTAAAACTTAATATACATATATATATATATATATATATATATATATTTATTTATCATATCAAAATTTAATAAAAAAAAATTTTTTTTCATATCTTATAACTTAACTTATTATCAGAAGAATTTTTGTTTCTTCTCAGGATGAAAAGTTTTTCGAAATTCATAAAAGCCTTTGAAATTTTAAACTCTCTTATCTATTCTTTAAAGTCTGTCATTTCAAACACTACTAAAGTCTAAAAGTTTTGAAATTTTAACTGTATTAAATGATCTTCATATTTACTAAGTGTATTTGAAATTTTAAAAATAATTAAAAGTTTCCATTCTTGTTTTTTTTTTTTCGTTTAAATAATTCATTAAATTAGAATTGCTTTAATTTATTTACATCAATTAATAGAACATACCGATATCGTTTCATGAATGTTTCCGGTGCAGCATATGATGCAGTGAAATATACCGGATATGGTATATCAAGATTAGGTATAAAATATCTTGCTTCATCGAAATCTGTTAGTTTTACAATTCCTACAAAATTAATTAATTGCAATAAAAATTTGAACAAAAATATTGAAAAATATATTAAAACATCATTTTCAATATTTAATTACAAACAATTTAAAATGGATATAATATTATTTTAACTTTTTTTTTTTTCAAAAAGCTTATAAGTTATACCTTTAGGCTTTCTTAATTTTAAATTATACCACTTTTTGTAATAAGACAATTCTCAGGTTTGATATCCATATGTGCAATTTTTAAACTATGAATATGTTCCACTGCGCTTAATAAATCATTAAAAAATGATTGCGCTTTTTCAACTTCCAACAATCGATTTTCTATAATTTGAAATAAATTTGCATCACTTACACGTTAAAATCATACTTGAAATATCAAAGTCACATTAAAAAAAAAAATTTTTTTTAAATTATCAATTAAACTTTATTAAATTAAAAAATCTGAATATTATAGCAATAGTCTTACGTTTTGTGTAATTTTCATTTATATAATTAAAAAGACATCCACCATCGACATATTCCATAAATTGCTCCCAGCACAGACCTACCTGGCGAAAACCAATTAATGAGGCAATATTTAGGTGCTTACCGATAAGTTCCATCATTTCTAAATCCTAAATAATTTCTGACTTTTTATTTTAAACATTATTTTACATATTTATTCAAATTATTCGCTTAATTAGATCTTAATCAAATTAAATTGTTAATTAGGAAAATGAAGACCTTTTGCTACTGAACCATTATCAAATATTAAATTACCAATTCCACTTGCAATTGCATAATATTAGCAATTTCTTCTTGAGCTTTCTCATCATTCTCATAAACTTCGGAACTTCGATCTTGTTTACGATTTCTCCGAATTGCAAATATTTCACCGTCATTACTTGTTGCAATGTATGTTTTAAAATTAGTTCCTGTAGAAAATGAACAAATGAACAAAAAAAAAAAAAAAAATAAACGTACAGAAAGATATTAATTTGCATAATCATAGATTTTCAATGGATTATTCGCATCAAATAAACTAATCTCTTAAATTGCTAATTTCATTAAATTTAAATTAAATTTAAATTAAACAATGTTATCATTTCCTTATAAAATATTACTTTCATTTCTTTTTTCACATATTTTATATGTATTATTGTTTATACTATAGATTGGACATATAAACTGCAAATTGGATGTATAAATTGCTGCGAAGTTGCACAAATAACTTATACTGTAGATCGAGCATACTGTAATTCTGTAGGTTCGGTATATACTGTAAGTTATACGGTACGATTAGATTACTATGGATTAGTTGTAGAAAAATAAAAAATTATCGTTGTTTTTTAAGATCAAAAATATTGAAATATAATTTACCTTCACCGATTGCTTTCTCAAATATCCATTGTTTTCCACGCAGTGACACAGGCATACGACTTTCATCAATGTTAATTCCTTTGAAATTTAAGTGACACTCGGTACTATCACAATTTATATTACTTTCAGAGGCAATAAACATTTCAGAATAAGAAACACTTCTTTTTTCATTAAACATTTCTGAATAAGGCATATTTCTTATTTAATTTAGTGCCAAGTCTTAAATTTTTTTCTATAGCATCCATTTGTATCTAAAATCATTTTTTTTTTCTTTTTTTTTTTTTTTTTTTTTTGGAAACAAGAAAAGGATAAAAGTTTGACAATTTTATGAAACATAAATTTGTATAACACACTTGAAAAAAACAAAACAAAACAACAACAAAACATTTTTGATAAAACTGAGACTAATTTTTCTTTTTAATTGATAAATTAACAATTAATTGATTGATTAATTGCTTATTCGATAAAAGTTATCAATATTGCATCATTCTACCAAACCTTTGCCGTAGTAAAATCACTAACTATTATTATTAAAATTGCTTAGAACAATCAGTAAATATGTAAAAAAAAAAAAAAGTTTAGAATAAAATGTTTCAACTTATTGTAGCATTACTATGCTAATTTACCACGTACGTGGCGATTTTTTACTGTTTGAGAGTATTCCGTAAGATAAAAATAAATTTGTTTGGCTCTACGAAAATTTTTCATAAACGCTCCACTAAAAAAAAAGCAAACAAATAAACATACATAAATACTTTAATTAATATCTCTAAAATCATAATAAACAAACAATGAATCACTGATAAGAAGAAAAATCCGATTATAACAAATACCAGAAATAACCAAAGTTCTTATGTAATAAACAAAGAAAAGAAACAAACAAACAATAACTAATGTTGACAAAATAATCAAACATAAATAGCCATCCATTATCTCATTACATTCTTTTGTCGGTCACATTCATTTCCTTTTGTATTGACCATTACTTTCGCATGTACACATATTACATCTCCAAGGGTCAATTTCATAAGGTCATGCAAAAACAAAAGGTTATCTTTCTCCTTTATTATTCAAAAATGTAAACATATTGGTTATCATTCTAATAATTCTGTATATACATGTAATTAAATTATTATTATTATTATTACTATCATTATTGTCATTTATTATTATTGTTATTACTGTCATTATTGTTATTTATTATTATTAAGGCTAATTTAATATTATAAAACATGCTGAAATTATTTCTTATAGAATATTTTAAACACATTACCTGCCAAGATAAATCTTTTAAATTTATCTCTGTCTTAATTTAGAACTTAGAATTTTTTTTTTATTGATTTAAAAATCTTCGGACTTGTTCATACTATGATTTGAGACATTTAAATTGAATTTTGTTTCAATATGAATTCTGTTTTAATTCAATAGCATTCTGATTTGTTTATTGTATATCAATCTTACATCTATCATTTCTTTCAGTCCTTCCTTATCTTATAATATGTATGGAATGCAACACATACAGTAAAATAATTTTATTTTATCATAAAATCAATATAATATATTAATGTATTGAATATTTTACTTATAAAATAATAAATGAATAATTTCTCGATAATTTTATTACAATTATTTAACAGTATCTGCAAGTTTTTGGACATTGACTCTTCATAAGTTCACGATATAAGCCATTTTGGCATAAATATGCAACAGAGGCGCAATTTGAAGTACCATCTGCTCCAGTTCGATCAAAACAAGCTAAAAATTACTTCAGTTATTTATTTAAATAAATTTAATTTCTATCAAGTAATCAATAATTTAAGATTAAAACAAATATGATTATAATAAAATATTAATAGCAACAACAAATATGTTTTAATTATTATTTGATCTTTCTTTTTCTCTTATTTAATTAATTTCGTGATTAACTTTTGCCATTTAATTTTTCAATCATTCCCATTCAGTATTTTCTTGTAGTTAATATTTTTCCATTTAACATTTCAATTGATTTCTTTTAAATTTTATTAGCAAATTATTTCCGTCAAAAATAAATGCTAAATTTTCTATAGAATTACATTATTTTACAATTTGATAAATACTATTTATTCTTTTGTATTTTTTCTATATTATCATCCTTTACTATTTTTATGATAAATGATAAGCATGAAAGTACCTTGATTTGCTGATGCTGGGTTAGAATTGCTACCCGTACAATGGGTTTTATGATAAATGATAAGCATGAAAGTGCCTTGATTTGCTGATGCTGGGTTAGAATTGCTACCCGTACAATGGGTTTTATGATAAATGATAAGCATGAAAGTACCTTGATTTGCTGATGCTGGGTTAGAATTGCTACCCGTACAATGGGTTTTATGATAAATGATAAGCATGAAAGTACCTTGATTTGCTGATGCTGGGTTAGAATTGCTACCCGTACAATGGGTTTTATGATAAATGATAAGCATGAAAGTACCTTGATTTGCTGATGTTGGGTTAGAATTGCTACCCGTACAACGATTACACGTAAATGGGCATTGTTGTGTCATTAAGTTGTAATATAAGGGATTGTCGCATAAATATTTCAATCTTGGGCAATCACTGGGTCGACCTGCTGCATTACGATCTATACATGCGATTGTTGTTGTTGTTGTGGCTGTTGTTGTGGCTGTTGTTGTGGCTGTTGTTGTTGTTGTTGTTGTGGCTGTTGTTGTTGTTACTGCTAAAGTGTTGTTATTTTTGTTTGATTAACAATAAATTTAATGAATGCCTAATTTTTGAATTTCAACAAAAATAAAAATTTTTAATAATTAGTAATATATATTCTACAAAAAAGTTCAACATTGTTTACTCAAAATAAAAGTAGCAATTGCTTCAAAATGCCTAAAATGTTTTCTATTTTAAATTTAAATTTTCAAAATATCTATTTTATCATTTCAAATGGAAAATATGTGATCTACAAAGATATTCATTTAGCAATAAAACATTTCAAAAAACAAAATTGAAGACAAGAAAAAAAAAAGTGAATTGTGGATGAAAAAGAATAAAAAAAAAGGAAACAAAAACAAAAACAACATAATATTAATTTGATGTTTGTTAGCGAACTAACAATTAAAACTATCAATAATTTTTCAGCATTTGTAAAATTTGAAAGTTTCAAAAAATAAAAAAAAAAAATTTTAAATAAAAATTTAGGCTTTATACGTATAAAAAAAAAAAAAAAAATTTATGAAAAAGTATGAATTAATCAATTAGCATTTGTTATTTCAATTTTAACTTTGTTTACTTTCGATGAAAATAGCATTTTTTGTAAACAAAATTTTATTTTTTAATAAAATAAATTGATTTACTTCCAGTTGTAGTGGCCGAAGGTATAGGTGCATTAATATTTAAGCATGTGACATTTACACATATGAATGCAGCATCACAAGCTCCGTTAGAGCAAGCTAAAAAGTTGAAAGAAATAAATTAAAATTTTTTGCAATTTTCTGAAAATATTATCAAACTTTTGAATTGTCATTTCTTATCAGTCTAAATTGTCACTTAAAAATTCACAATCTATTGGGCAAATCTTCATGGAATGCCAGGAATGATTAGTTAAATGATCAGTTTCTGATAAACCATTTCATGGATTGAAATTATAATTTCAAAAATTAAAATTACTATTTCAAAGATTTGACTTATTGTTGTAAAGATTTAGATTATAAATGAAAGTTTGAATTTACTGCAATTAATATTTAATAACTAATCAAAACTTTCTAAAACTCATACTCCAAAAATCTTTTTTAAGAATAATTAATTAAGCAATTAATTTTGATGAATGAATCGTTTCATCCAAAACTCCTTTTTTTTTTTTTTAAATCAACAGTTGACAAAAAATCAATTTTTGAGTAATACTTCTATTCCAACTTATTTAAATCGCTTATATTTACGGTAGAAAAAATTTTATTATTCTATTGTTCCATACTACATTAATGTATTGTTTATTTATTTAAATAATATAATTAAGTATTATTCCTTTTTAATTATAAAATGGAGTAATTAGAAATGGACAATATTTTTTATTTGTAATTTAATTTCTCTATTTACAGTATTAGTTTTAATTTTTTCTTCTATATTACTATAAATATACCGCCTCCTGATGGATAGCACACATTTAGAAAACATACTGTACCAGCTGGACATCCCTTTGATGTTCCATTTATGCAATCTAAATTTAATTTTTAATTTTTTTTTTTTCTTTTAATTTTGACAACAACAAAAAAGTTTTACAATAAAATATAATAAAACTAAGAAATGTTATATATTTATAAATTGCACTATGCATTTAATACTATTATGCATTCAAAAGTTAGTAATATCTCTAAAAATATATTATCTCATAGATATTTTTAAAAGAGATAATTAAAAAAAAAGGAAGAAAACTTCTTCAAAAAGGAGTAATGATTATTTGATAAAAAGTAATTTTATTTCTTGAGAATGAAAATTTAATAAATTTAAAATTTACTATTTAACATTTTGAATTGTTCTTTTACAATTAATTATTTTATTATTAAAAAAAAAAGAAAAGAAAGAAAAGAAATATTTAGCTAACCAGATGTTATATAATCCAAAAAAGCGAGAGTGATAATAATAATTACAATTTTATGAGCTATCGACATGATTACTTGATCACGATTGGATCAAATAAATGATCGATTTGAAATTTTCAAAATAACTGATCGAAGTGTGAAATAATTTAGTATTTAAAAACTTTTCCTAAATGTTGTTAAATTCAAAAAGAAAAAAAAAATGAATTCAAGCTGAATAAGCATTACACTTAGCTAAATTTCCGTTTCTATTTTTCAGTTTATTTTTTAAAAAAAAAAAAAAAAAACAAAATACAACTGCAAAATTTATTTCTTATGCTTTAACTGTTTAAATAAAAATTTTTTTGCTACTATTTCTAACATTTATTAATAGATAATATTAAATGATTAATGCAAAAATTAATTATTTTATATTATTATTATTGCATTGCTGCACTTATGTAATTTAAATAGAATTAAAAAAAAGAAATTTTAATAATTGGAATTTAAAATTACTATTATAGTAAATTATTGTATCGTTAAATTTGTATAATAAAATTGAAATCGATTATTGTAATTT